CTCTATTTTAGGGTCCAGACTTCACTCTCAGAACTGCTGGTAAAGATCTGTGCTATTAGCTCTTTATTTATGGTAATTTTAAGCCGGAAGCTGGCATTATGGACTCTGTCTTGGCCTCTTTGTAGTGACTGTTGCAATATATTCAGTGTCATCATACAAGTCTTAAAATGTAATGTCCACTAACAGCTATCTTAAGCTGTTTGTATTTTCAAACCAGTTTGCTGAGTCCATTGTGCATGTTTGGAAACCAGTACATCAAACCTGAGTTTGCAAACCATAATTTGAGGGATACATGCAATTGGAAACAAGGCTAAATTCTTTTCTGCTTTGAACCAATCCTGAAGCAGTGCTTCTGGACCAGTTGAGGCATAGGGGCTGAACTAACAGGGATAGGGTTGCAATAAGTACAGAGAGGTCCTCAGGTCACCTGCTTTTTTAGGAATACCCTGTGGTGGGATTTCTCATTGAGAGCTGCAACCTGTTAGGATTGGGACTCTGAGTAGACTAGGATGCTGGGAATTTGCTGTTGCCAAAAGAACCCCAAAGAGCCTTCGGGAACCCCGAGCCCCTTGGGCCAGCATGTGGCTACTGGTACCATCAGAAGAGATGTATTGTACACGTATCTCTTCCTGCTGTTCCTCTCTTTCCCCAGTGGTCTGTATCAAACTAGCACTCACTCTAGCTGGATTCCCCACCTCCAGGTGCCCCAGAGAGCCAAGGGTACACGAGAGAAAGGGCTGGAACCTTGAAGGAGTGTGGGTGGTACTTGGGAGACTTTCCACTCTTACTAGCTGGAGATGCTCCAGGGCTTCCTGTCAGGCAACAGACTGGGATAGGATTGAACATCAGATTATTTAGAAGTCATCTGCTCACCTGCTTTTTAAAGCATATTCTGTAGTGGGATTTCTCAAACTAGAGATTCTGGTGTCTGTGAGCTCACCGTGAAAATTTTTAAATTTTTCATTTTCATTTAATTAATAACTTAAAAGATAATATGAACAGGTTCTGGATCATCTAAATGATTTCCCTATAAGCAAGCGCTACCCTGCAAGTTTAGTCTTGGGTTTGTGTTTGTAATTCAGTTAGCACTGAGCAGTTCTATTTTAATCAGGAGCTAATGAGAAAGAACCAAAGCAGATTTAACATGCAAATGATGCGTTTATGCCAAGCGAAGGGCACATAATATCAAAACAGGCTGCAGGAATAAATGGTTTACAGTGATTTGAATGAAAAAAAAGTGATAGAGAATTGTCATCTCACAGTACCTGGTCGTCACCTGGTGACGAGGAAATTCATGCTACAACTGGTGATGAGGAAAACAATATCATCTGTCACATTAAATTAAACTTTTAAAACTTTCTGGTTTTATTGCTTGGTGTATATTCACTTTATAGCCTGATTTTTTTTTTTGCGGTTCGCGGGCCTCTCACTATTGTGGCCTCTCCCGCTGCGGAGCACAGGCTCCAGACGCGCAGGCTCAGCGGCCATGGCTCACGGGCCCAGCCGCTCCGCGGCATGTGGGATCTTCGCGGACCGGGGCACGAACCCGTGTTCCCTGCATCAGCAGGCAGACTCTCAACCACTGCGCCACCAGGGAAGCCCTAGACTGGTATTTTTTATAGTCACATAAGCTCTATAAGTAGGAGTTTACATCTAGTTGCATGTGAGGACCGGGATGGTTAAAGAGAATGAACTCAGGGCCAAATTTCTGGATATCAGTCTTAGCTCTGAGTAACCTTGGGAACGCTGGACCTCTTTGTGCCCCAATTTCTTCATCTGAATAGGGATAATGATGGTACCTACTATTATTCCGAGGAGTAATTGAATGCATGTAAATTATTAGTACAGTGCCTGGGCCTGCTAGGTATTCCTATGGTCAAAATAATTTAGCTCATTAGCATGCTAAGTGAAGTAAGTCAGAAAGAGGAAGACAAATACCAGATGATATCACTTATATGTGGAATGTAAAGTATCTCACATATCAACATACCTGTGAGACAGAAACAGACTCACAGACACAGAGAACAGACTTGTGGCTGCCAAGGGGGAGGGGAGGTGGGGGAGGAGGGAGGGAGTGGGAGGTTGGGATGAGCAGATGTAAACGATTATATAGAGAGAGAGAATGGATAAACAACAAAGTCTTACAGTATAGCACAGGGAACTGAGGTCAATATCCTGTGGTGAACCGTAATGAATATGAAAAAGAGTGTATATATACGTATAATTGAGTCACTTTGTTGTACCGCAGAAATTAAGACAACATTGTATATCCACTATACTTCGATAAAATAAATTAAAAAAAAATTTAGCTCAGGGCTTCCCTGGTGGCGCAGTGGTTGAGAGTCCGCCTGCTGATGCAGGGGACACGGGCTCGTGCCCCGGTCTGGGAAGATCCCACGTGCCGCGGAGCGGCTGGTCCCGTGAGCCACGGCCGCTGAGCCTGCGCGTCCGGAACCTGTGCTCTGCAACGGGAGAGGCCACAACAGTGAGAGGCCCGCGTACCGCAAAAAAAAAAAAAAAAAAAAAAAAAAAAAAAAAAAAAAAAAAAAAAAATTTAGCTCAGAAATAAGTGAAGATCCAACAGTGTGAGAAGCCTTCTTTATTAGATAAATTAAGGTATATAAAATAGTAAGTAACACTTACAAATCACATCACATTTATAAGAAAACTTTTCCAAATATATTATTCTACTTAGCCTTCAACGTCTACCCTGGAAGCTAGATGATATTTTTGTTGTTGTTATCAAGATGAGGAGACTAAAGCTTGGACAGTTGAAGTGATATGCCCTGAAAAACGTGTTTGCCATGAGCATTTGATATTTTTTTCCCTCATGGAGAATGAAGGAATATTTTGTAACTGAACATTTTCCCCATTTTCTTTTGGGTTGCTAGGAGGCCCAGAGCTAATTTCGTAGTTGGTCCACATTAGTACTTGTAGAGTACTTATTGCTGTGGACAGCTATGTTAGATTTTCTCTCCTAGTCTTGATTTTCTATTCTAATTTATATCTTCTCTGATTCTGAAAATGTATGCATTGTTTTATTATTTGGAATTCTTATAATCTGCCTCATGTCCATATTGGAAAACTTTGAGCATAAACCAATAAACTGACCCACGGTTACGTAACTAGTAAGATTCAGATCTTGACCTGAGCTCTTTCGGCTTCGTGGAGAAGTCACATTTATTTAGCATCTAGTATGTCCTGGTGCTTTATATGCACAGTCTTATGCAATCCACACATTAGCTGGTGTGAGGTCGCTCAGTCACTGCTGTCTTTATTTTCAGATGAAGATACTGAAGCTTATAAAAGTTTGAAGACGTTCCCAAGGTTAATAAATGTTGTTCTAACTTCTGGTTCTGTAAATTGTTAACAATTTAAACGAAAACACACAGTTCCTCTTCTACAGCCAGATCTTTATATCCATCTCCCCCACCTCTGTGCCCCCCGCGCCCCTCCCCTACCCCTGCCCCTCCACCGCAGGGCTTTTCCTCTTATGGCTTTGCCAAGAACAAAATTACCATTCCAACTATCTGCCGCTTAAATAAGCTATTTATCATTTTTTAGTTAGAGTAATACTTGCTATGACAGCAGTAACACAAATATCCAGCAAAGATGGTCCCCAGCTTACAGTAGCCTTAGTGGACTTTCAGGGTTTCCCAGAGCACTGCTCTTTTTGTCACGGTTGTACACTTGCCCAGGACACCTTCTAGAAAGAGCCGGCAAAGAGGGAAACTCAGAGACTGGGGTTCCAAGGGTGAGGTGGCATGTGAATCTATGCTCCCTGATCCTGGCCAACTTGCCTGTTTCTTTATTAGGGTTAATTTTCTGGCCTTTACAGGGCTTGAAGTCTGTCACCCAGTTCGGCCCCTGTCAATGTATTCCCTGGCTGTTGCAAACCTGTGATAGGATTTCTTCTCTAATCGCCAGCCAGGACGGAGGGTGGTGAAGTCAGCCCTTGGCTGGATTAAGGCAGAACAGAAAGTGTAGGATTGGCTCTTGCCATTGTGACCTAGATCTAAATCACAAGGAGGCCCAGGAAGTACCATTAGAGAACAGAGTAAATGCCAGTGGAATCTCAATAGCACAGCCATAATTATACACCAGTCTCTATAGCGTTTCCCAGAGAGTGAGGTTTCACAGACTTCAGTCATTTGATTGTCAGTTTTTTGCCATATCCTCATATCATCTTTACTATCATATATTTCAATGTTCTTAAATGATAGTTTTACTTAAATATGTTATTTTAAAGGGAGACTTTATGTTGCCACCATTAATGGGAGAACAGTCTCACTTATTACGATGATAGAAGATTATCTTAAAACTAAATATAATGACGATAAAACAATACTATTAAATTCTTTGCAGACACAGGGATTAGGAATTAGGAGGCCTGTTGTTTATTTCTAACTGTCACATAAACTACTACGTAAACTATTGAACAGTATGCAAGCACTATAACTTTCTTATAGTGCCATCGCTTATAGTGCGATCGCTTAAAGTGCCATCGCTTTCCCCATTTGAAAAAGCTTCAAAACCACTTGCCTTTTTCATCACAGGCCATTATCTGTGAGGAAAAGCAGAGAGAGTTCCCTTTGCCAGTTGCAAGAAGTAACTGGAGACTGTAGGGCATGAGGCTATGGAGGGAAGGGGCCAGTAGAGGTTTGAAACCACAAGGGTGCATCAGCAGCTGACACAGAGCTGAGTCCAGAGGATACCATGTTTGGTGAACCCAACTTGCAGATTCTGAGTAGTAAGACCAGTAGAGAAATGCAAAAACAGTGTCAGTTTAGAACAAAGGGCTTAGAAGCTGTTCAGATGAGGAGAGGAATCACAGCAGTGGAGAAATTAAAAGTGGAAGAAAGAAGGATAATACATGGTCTTGGTGGAAAAATGACAAGTCCTGATTCCTAAGCAAAATTCTGCTTCATTTCACGTTCATCTATTGATTTTGGAAATATACACACATCCTGAAGGGTTTCTTTCTTTCTTTTTTTTTCTAGCCTCGTCATGCAGCATGCCGGATCTTATTTCCCCCACCAGGGATTGAACCCGTGCCCCCTGCAGTGGAAGTGTGGAGCCCTAACCACTGGACAGCCAGGGAAGTCCCTCTTTACTTTTTTTTTTTATAGGCTTATAAAATACTACCTGGGTTGCTTGGGTGGTAGCTACACTTGTGGATATTATTGATCACTGAATGAGCAAAGAGAGGCCAAGAAGTCGCTTAGGAAATGTACGCAGATCATAGTACCATTCGAAATATAATTTTTTATTCAAGGAAGTTCAAATAAATCATCTATTGCCCAAATATAGGGATTGTTTTATGAGAGCTCTGATTAAAATGCAATTGGGAATGAGTTTCAGACATATTCATTCAAGGGTTGCGCTGCCAAAAATGAAGGAATATAACTTGGTTAAACCTTGGATAACTTGCCATGGAAGAGGCAACTTGTGATTTATTTTGGAAGAAATAAATGGAGAACAAATGAAAATTGCTAGTTAGATATTATAGCAATTCTATGAATTGGGCTGAGAATAAGGCATGTTTACATATAATTATGAACGGAAAAAGAGCTGCAAAGATGACAGAGTAGCAATGAAAAAACGTTAGAAAGTCTCTTTAAATCAGTTGAGCAAGATCTGGGTGTGGGGACTTCCCTGGCGGTCCAGTGGTTAAGATTCCGTGCTTCCACTGCAGGGGGCACGGGTTCGATCCCTGGTCAGGGAACAAAGATCCTGTGTGCCGCCCAGCCAAAAAAAAAATCTGGGTGTAAATAAATGTGACAATAATAATGATAAGAATAAGCCATCAACCTTGAGCACTTTATTACAGAGCAGTGCTGCTGTGAATATATCAGCAGCCACATAACTCCATTAAGTGTGGATCTAGGGAACAGTTATGTACATGTTACCTTAAGATTAAATTGCTTCCTAGAAAGCTAAGTGAGAGTTCAAAAACTTTTCTGTGATTAACATTTTTTGCAACCTGTGGCAAAGGACGAGATAAAGAAAGAAATCTCATTTTTCTTTTTCTCCTTCTCCAAAGTGACAAAAATCCAAATGTCCCCCACCAGTTTAGGTCCCATAGCTATAAGTGTGGTTGCAGGCTCACGTCATTTTGAAGGGGCAAAGAATCTCTTGGGGAATGGGAGGCTTTCAAAAATATCTGCTACGTAAGACTAAAAGATGGGATATGAGATCAGGATCTCAGTACGATTGAATTTAATCTAAGGTTCAACATTTTAAAGAAGACAGTTGACTTTTCCTGCCTTCTGGCAGTGGACACCTGTCATTATTGGGTATCACCACCTCCTCGGGGTGAGCAGGGGGCTTTTAATCACATATCAGCAAATTTGACTTGGGTCAGTTTTCTCAAAAATATGGCTGTAAGCATGGAGGCCCCTCACCTCCAAAAGTGCTCTAGCCACAGAATGGTAGCCACTTGGTATCAGAGGTATCTGATTCAAATATATAAAGCTAAGGCTTTCTGGAGTAAGCTGACATTGGGACAGGTGAAAAGACCACCACCATAGCCGGGGACATAAAGAATTCTGACTTTTCCTGGATATGTTAGCAAGTGACCTATGAATGGTCTTTTGTCCCTCAAAACTTGTGGATATCCTTAAGGGTTGATGGTGTTTCACTCAAGGAGTCTTTTGAGTCATACTTACTTTACTGAATTTAACATACCTACATATATATATATATATATATATATATATATATATATATATATAAAAATTTAAGAGTATATCTTGATGAAATTTTAAAAAATGAACAAGACACAGATGAAGAAATAAGATATTATTAGAATTCTGGAAATCCTCATTACAACCTCTTTCAGTTACTCCTCGACAAGTAACTACTATCCTTACTTTTAACACCAAAGACCGGTTTTGTCTATGTTTGAACTTTATGTAAACCGAATCATACAATGTATACTTTCACGTTTGGTTGTGTTTGTGAGATTCATTCGCGTTGTTGCATTATTCGTTGCTGAATAATATTCCACTCTGGAATCGATCACAATTTATTTATCAATTCTGCTGTTGGTGGACAGATGGGCACCGTTTTGATCACTTACTAGATAGACTTGGCCCAGAAATTTGACTTCGGGACTTTAAAGAAACACTTCTAAAAGTTGGCTTAGATAAGATATTGTTTGAGGAAGGCTTAGATGAAAGATTAGCTGTGAGCCAAGGCGGAATCCAGATTACCATCAGGGTTTGCTAAGTCCTCTCTGTCTAAGAGGAAGTAAAGAATATTATTCATATATTGGAATTCTGCTGAGGTCTTCCAAGCATAATCAAATATTCATACTCCACACATGTCTATAAGGTAATTTCCTACCTTTCCTCAAAAGCAGTTATGCGACCTTTAGAATTTTGTGAATTGCAGAGCCTGTTATACATCATCACTACCCTGAAAAAGTCAGAAAGTATCACTATTTATGTCTAAAAAGAATACCAAGACCTTTCCTAGGGAGGATGAGGGCCTGATAACCCTTTTTAAAGGTATTCTTGTCTTTATATTTGGTCCCCAAGAGCCTGAGCTTTTGTTAGAAAAGCTTCAGTGGGGAAGCATTGTTCTTGGCCTCTTGTGTAGGCTTCTTTTAACACAGCTACGGTGGAAGGGTGGTTGATCACGGACGAGCACGTGAGTATGAATTAGGAGATACGTAACTGTGGAGCCCAAATGGGGACACTGCGGTGGCAGCGGCCACAGCATCCTCAACCGTAATCTCATTGTCTGTGGAAGAGCCTCCATAGTTCTCCTTGAGACTGTGGTGAACAGGGGCTTTGCGTTGCTGCAAGAAGCACAACAGTTGACTTTCCATTTCTCTTCCTATTTGGCGTTGGGAAACAGTATTGAACCCTTCCCTTTGAGTAAGCCTTGGTGTTTTTTGAACGATCTGTAGGTGAGAAGCCTTTAGATGGAATTAGTGCCTTTCTCCCTCCCTCTCTCCCTCCCTTCCTTCCTTCCCTCCTTCTTTTGTTTGTTTGTTCATTCGTTCTTTCATTTGTCCATTCCTTCCTTCCTTCCAATTCTGTCACTCTTTCTACCCATTCTCCTCCCTCATGGAATCCCTGGAGGCTGAGGGGGCAGCTGGCATGGTAGACAGATCAATTACACACAGGGACATTGAGCAAATAAATACACACCGTTTCTCACTGTTGGAGAAGGGACTGACAAATATGGAAGGAGAGGGACTTCGCTGGTGGCGCAGTGATTAAGAATCCACCTGCCAATGCAGGGGACACGGGTTCGGGCCCTGGTCCGGGAAGAGCCCACATGCTGCGGAGCAACTAAGCCCATGAGCCACAGCTACTGAGCCTGAGCTCTAGAGCCCGTGAGCCACAACTACTGAAGCCCACATGCCTAGAGCCCATGCTCCACAACGGGAGAGGCCACTGCAGTGAGAGGCCCGCGCACCGCAGCAAAGAGTGGCCCCCACTCACTGCAACTAGAGAAAGCCCGCACACAGCAACGAAGACCCAATGCAGCCGATAAATAAATAAATTAATTTAAAAAAAATATGGAAGGAGAGAGGCTGAAGAGAACCCTGAGGTGCTGGATTGGAACTGAAAGCACTGGTGTGTAAACTAATGTGTTTAAAAAATAGACACACTGAGAGGTAGGGAAACATAGCTGTCTGTGGAGTCTGTATGTCTGTGGGTCAGTGTGCACACATGCAGATATTTCCTAGCTCGAGTCTCTGAGAGGTTTACAAACGACAGCCCAGTAGAAATAAACGTTCTGAGTGCCCAGACCTTGGTTTCCAAATATCAACATCCACTAAAAGGAACCAGGACTTGTTGGAAATGGTTGGCCTCAGGGTTGAAGCAGAGGAAGTACAAGATGATTGTGGCTCTCAAGGAAGTAAGGAAGTGCTCAAGGAATCATGGACACTTGTCCAAGAACAGAAGTCAGCTTCAAGGGATCCCCACTGGCCAAATCTGGATCACTTTAAGCATCAAAGTTAAGTAGTGGTAGTAACAGATGACAACACATTAAATAAAATGGGAATCCACATATCCACACAGAGGTCAACACATAAATATGTAGGGAGAAGGAAAGCTTTTCCTTACAGTAGAATGTCAAATTTTCTATAAATCTGAAATTATTTCAAAAAAGGTAATCTATGCACTGTAAGCAAATATTCTTTCTAACGCGAATAGAGTTCCGAAATTGTACAGTCTTAAAAAGACAACAAAGTGAATCTTGGCAGGATTCCAAGAAACACAGTCACAGAAAAACAACTCTTAGATGAGATAGAGGGGCGTATTTTACTTTTTCAGGAGGAACGGGGGTCTCTCTTCCTTTCTCACTGAGAGGTCCCAGCAGAGATTCCTTCCATGCAGCCCCCCACTAACACTAGTACCCGGCTTTCAGCAAACATCACTCATGGCGAGAAAAATGAAGGGCTATATTATCATTTCCTTGAGACACGTGAGGGAGAAGGCAAGTAAACATTGAGCTATTTACTTACTTTAAAAAAAGGAGAAGTTGCCGGACTTTGAGCTAAACTAGCAGGAGAGAGAGAAAATGAGAGCAAGAGAGACAGAGCGAGGAGAGGGAAGCTTATTTCTTCATTTGTGCCCTGAGGTGCAAATATACAGGCCGTACTAGTTACAAGTCCTGATGTGGGTGTGGACCACTGGGGTTCAGGTGGTAGCTGGAAGAAGCCTGCTCTCTCCCCACCGGCGGAGGCTCTGTTTGGTGCTACAAGTCGGTGGAAAGGGGGAGAGAAGCACGAGCTTCCAGCGGGTAGTGCCCCAGCGCCAGGAGGCTGCATGTCGTCAGGCAGAGGTCCACCGCCTCGTGTGCAAAAGTGTGCAAGCTCTCGTCCCTGGGTTGCCAGGACTTCCAGAAGAAAGAGTCCCCGCATGCCTCGGTGTATTTTTGAGTAATACTTGCTGTCTTCCTTACTGCTGAGGGCCACCACCCGTCTCGACAGCCTATGCTGAGTTCACCTGGGTTCTGCTGACTGTGACCACGAGCTCCCGTGGAACCCTGCACCTCTTAGGGCACTTCCCAGGCCTTCGATTACTTAATATCAGT